CTGTGGGTCAGGGTGTTGGTATCAGTCCCATTGGAATTGTGGCTCAGCCCTCCTGCAGTGTCAGGGGTGGTTCTGCTGGAGCAGGGATCCTGTAGGAAAGGGTGGAATCTTCCTCTGAGGATCCAGTGGAAGAGGCAGCTGCTGTTCCTCTGGGAAATCCAGTGGAGAAGCTGTGCTGGTGTTCCAGAATCTCAGATTGTATCCAGGTAGTAATGTTTGAAATCTCAGATTGTATCCAGGTAGGAATGTTTGAAATCTCAGATTCCATCTGGGTAGGAATGTTTGAAATCTCAGATTGTATCCGGGTAGGAATGTTTGAAATCTCAGATTCTATCCAGGTAGGAATGCTTGGCTCCTCCCTCTGGGCTCACATCTCCCAATGGAATGCTGTAGTTCTTATCAGCCATGCAGGGACATTCAATAGCTGCTATCAGCAGATGTCCCCTCCCGAGGGAGGAGTGATTGTGGAAGAGATAAGGAAAAACTGCCCACTTGACAAAAGACAACTGCCATAGAAATGGTGACAGAATACATCTTGCCTTGCAATCTGGAACAGAGGGCTGGTCCTGCTGGGAGCTCCACCTGGGCAGCAGGAGCGGGTGGGAGACCAGACAGGTGGACACAAATAGCCAAAAGCCTTTTTTTCTTTCCCCTCTGGCCAGAATGTTTCCTTCTAGGAAAACATCAGGATTTATGAATTTCTTTATTTTTTTTAAGCAGGGCACCCCCAATGTAGGGAGTAATTAGTACCTGTCTCTATTGATTCAGAAGGCTGAACAATTGCTTTATTAAAATTATATTATATTACATTATACTATACTATATTAAAGAGATACAATATTATACAAAAGATACATACTGAAGAAAAACTCTGTCTGAGACAGCCAGGACACAGCTTTGAGTGACTGGCTAAGGAATCAAAACAATCCTCAGTAGAATCCAATTGACAAATCACTTCAGGTAAACAATCTTCCTAACAATTCCACATGTGCAAAACAGGAGCAGCAAACAGATATCAGAACTGTTTCCTCTTCTTTTCTCTGTGCTTCTCCAGGAAAAAACCTGAGAGAGAGAATTATGTCTCTCTGTTCAGAGAATGTGAATGCCACACACCAAAACTTCTTATTCTTTTCTTTTTTCAACACCAAAACTTCTTATTCTTCACCAAAATATCTCCGAGCTTTTGGTGGAGCCAGTGGGTACCTGCCAGGTGTCTCGGTGCTGGCCACACGATGAGGAATGATGGCAAAGCTGGGGTTGACTCCAGACTCTGAGCCCCAACCTGGAAAGGGTTTTTTTGGGATTTTCCCTACTGTTTTCTGAAGTTAAGTTAATTTTTGTCCATGACTTCGTCAATAGAAGACATTTGGTGACATCACAGAGCGGCGCAGGCTGCGGGAGCGGCTGCACTGCAAGAATTTCACCTGGTACCTGCAGAACGTCTACCCCGAGATGTTCGTGCCCGACCTGACCCCGACGTTCTACGGAGCGGTGAGTGCCGGGGCTGCCGGAGCCGCTGGAGCTCCGCCCTGTGCCGGCAACAGCCGGGGGAGCCCCGAGGGTGGGTCCGGGGAGGGGGAGCTGGTGCTGCCGCGTCTGTCACCGCTCGCTGTGTGTGTCTGTCACCGCTCGCTGTGTCTGTCTGTCACCTCATCTGTCACCGGCTGGCGGGGCCGGTTTGGGCTCCGGCTGAGCTGGAATCCGGCAGAGCTGGTTTGGGGTGAGTCCCGGGGTGAGGAATCCGTGGGGATGTGGACTTGGGTTAAATTGGGGGGAAGAGCTGAAAAATTCCTTGAGCCCCAAACATCGTCCTGGCACAGGGAGGGCTGGAAAAACTGAGCTGGGGATGGGATGGGATGGGATGGGATTCTCCATCCCGAGGGAATCTGGGCACGGCTGGGAGGCAGGACCCCCATCCACAGGGAAATGGAGGCCGGCGGGATGGGCAGGGCTGGTTCCGTCCCTGAGGAGCTGGGGACAGCAGGACACGGAGCTCTGGCTGCATCCCCGAAGAACTGAGGGCAGGCAGGATGAGGGGCTCCAGCTCCATCCCTGAGGATGGGATTCCTCTGAGGCTGGAAAATCCCTTTCCCTCAAGCTGGGTGTTGGATCCTGAGTCTGCCCCTCCTCAGCCAGGGCGATGTGACAGCAACTGGCACGGCCAGCACCCAGCCCAGCGACAGCCGGGTGACAGCCAGGTGCTGGCTGCTGGCTCCCATCCAGCTTTTAATTCACCTTCATTTCCTGAAACCTCCGCCCAGGTGCCTTTCCCTTTGCTCCGTGTGCCGGAGGCGATGGCTCGGGCGTTCCTCGTGTCCTGGAAAGGACACGGGACCCGGAGCCGGCTCTGGGTGCCGGGATTGTGTTTGCACAGCGATAACCCAGAGCCCTGCACGGCCAAACCCGAGCCGGTCCCACCCCGGCTCCTCTGAGTCCTTCTTTCCTCCACTCCCCCAGCCTTTTTCCTCACTACTGCTCCTTTCCACCCCTACCTCGTCTTTTTCTCCCTTTTTCCCCCCTCTCTCTCCTCCTCACCCCCGTTCCCGTGGCCTCTCCCCGCCTTTTTCCCCTCATCTCTTTTTCCTCACCTTTCCCTCTCCTTTCTCTCCCTCGTTTTTCTCCCCTCTCCTTTTCCCACCACCACCTCTTTTCCCTTCCCAACTCCTCTCTTCCCCTCCCACAGATAAAAAACGAGGGCACCAAGAGCTGCCTGGACGTGGGCGAGAACAACCACGGTGGGAAACCTCTCATCATGTACCCCTGCCACGGGCTGGGGGGCAACCAGGTGCGCCCCCCGAACCACCCCCATCATTTCCCCCTCTGCCACCCCCGGTTTTCCCCCGGGCTCAGCTCCCGGGGCGCGGCAGTGACGGCCCCGCCGGCTCTTCCCGCAGTACTTTGAGTACACGAGCCAGCGGGAGCTGCGCCACAACATCGGCAAGGAGCTGTGCCTGCGCGGAGCTGCGGGCACGGCCGAGCTGGGCGAGTGCCAGTTCCGAGGGAAGCCCGGCCGGGTGCCCGCCAGCGAGGAGTGGGACCTGGCGCAGGTGAGGAGCCCCCTCCGTGCCGGGAATCGCCCCTGGGCACGGAGCGGCCCCTCCGGGGCTGTTTCCCCTCGGTCACACCCCGCTGTCGTTCATGGATGGTTTGCGTTGTTTCTCGGCAGAACCGGCTGATCAAGAATTTGGCCTCGGGGATGTGTCTGACGGCCCGGGGGAAGCACCCGGCGCTCGTTCCCTGCGACCTCACGGACCCGCACCAGCTCTGGTCCTTCACCTAAATGGGAGCGGAGCCCCCGGCCACGCTCAGGAAACCAGGATCCAAAAAACTCCCTTGTTCGCTTTAATTTAAGAAGTGAAGGCCTTAAATATGCTGCATTTCGTGGTTGCCTTGAACTGAATCCCGTGCTTTTGGGAGCCGAGCTCTGCCGGGGACACCCCAGGGACCCCGAAACGCAGCGGTGGTGGCGGGGGCGCTCCTGCCGATGCTCCTCGGAAGCCGCTGCTCGTCCTCCCCATCCCGGCTCCAGCCAGAGACTCTTCCGTTCGTATCAGGCTTTAAAAACGTGGATGCGCCTCCCCAGATGGGGAATCTGGGCGGGAAAATCCGTGGAGGAGGAGGAGGATGGTGACCGTGGGGCTGCTCCCGCCGAGGGGGGATCGGGGCTTGCGGTGGCCCCTGGCGGGCAATGGGAGAAGTTGGGATCTGTGCCTTAGGAATCACGTTGGATTTGGAGGGGGGAGGAAGTTAGATTCTTGCTTTTATTATTGTTATTATTAAATGATGATGATTCCTGGGGGCGATTCTGCTTGTGCTGAGCAGGAGGAGTTTTCCCTGCATGGCACCAGAGAATCCTTCTGAACAGGATCCTGGGTGCCACATCTCCTCTGTTCCAGATTGTTTGTCTATGCCAACTTCTGTAGCTGCCACTTTTGTTGCCATATCATTTATAGCGGGGAAAAATCCTCCTGGACATGGCAGGAGTGGGGAGAACCTGTCCTAGACACTGAACCTCAAATAAAGAGATGCTTTATTTTACACAAATCCTGTCTCTGGCCATTCTGAGCTCCAAACACTCCTCTCACATTGTATCCCTCACGCTTCTTGTTCTAGAAACTCCCTATTTAGCCCAAAAATGAGTGTACAGCCCTTTGTGCCACAGCTGGGGGATCAGCTTTGCCTTGGGGTGTCCCTGTGTGGGGCGGAGCCGTTGCCGCTGTCCCTCACTCTGTGCCCTTGGTGCTGATAGAACAAACATGGGATTACTTGGGAATTGTGTTCCTGGGAAGTTTCGTGTTTTCCTTGGAAATAAATGCAGAACTGCAGCAGGTGCTTTTTATTCCCAACACTTTTTTGGACCTGGTTGACACCATGACCCTCGTGATCCCAAATGCCGAGGCCTGTGCCTCAAGGGCCAATGGTCCTCACCAAAACAATCTCCATTTGGAGTTCAAGGGGTAAAACATGACAGAGTTTTGGCCAAAATCCCAGGGTTTATTTCAAACCTATCTCTGCTTCCTCCTGCCCCAGCCTCAGGCCCCAGGGAGCCCCGGCCCTGCTCCAGCGCTGGCTGTGCCGGGGGCTTGGGGAGGGGCTGACGGTCGTGCCCCGTTTGTGCCTCGATTTCCCCATCCCGGTGCCGATGTGGCTCCATCCAGGGGTTGGATCGAGCCCCCGGGAGCCGTGGCACGAACCGAGGCCGGGCAGAGCTGCAGCCAAGGCCTCCTGGGGCTGAGGAGAGCGGGAGGCAGCGGTGACGCGGCTCGGGGACCCGGGCACAGGAGGCGGCAGCGCAGGGCAGCGTCTCCCTGGGCTGCAGCGCCGAGGGGGGCTCGGGGTGTCCCCGGGCTGCCTGGGGACCGAGTGTTCTTTGGCACAGGGGCCAAGGCCGCTCGGCGGGGCCGCGGCACCTGCTGCCCTTCCCGCGCCGCCTCCCGCCGCCCCGTTAAAGCGCCCGCGGGGCCGGCGCTCGGTCCCACCGCGGACTGCGCTCCACCATGATGCTGCAGCTCGTGCTCCTCGCCGCGCTCGCCCTGTGCGGTGAGTCCCGCCCGGAGCCTTGGGCCTCGGCAGCCCCGAAAGGCCCCTGGAGCAAGCCCGGGGGGACTCACGCCCCCGTGCCTCTGTCCCCAGGGCGCTGCTCCGAGCTGGATCTCGATGGCATGCAGCGGGTGGTCGGCGGCACCGAGGCGCGCTCGCACTCCTGGCCCTCCCAGGTGCGTCCTGCCGGCGTCCCACGGCCCGGCCCGGGGCTCTGCCCGCGCCGCGACCCCGCGCTCAGCCCCGGGCCGTGTCTCGCCCCCTCCCCAGATCTCCCTGCAGTATTACTCCGGGGGAGGCTGGCACCACACCTGCGGGGGCTCCCTCATCCACAGGAACTGGGTGATGACCGCCGCCCACTGCGTCAACAAGTGAGCGCCCCGGGGACCCCTCCTTCCCCTCGCCAAACCTCCTTGCCCCCCAAAACCCTTCCAAGCAGAAATTCTGGCTGCCTCAAGCCCCAGAGCAGCCGCCCTTGGAGCGCTTTTGGCCTCCTCCTTTTTGGCAGGGCCTCCGCGGCGCTTCTCCGGGAGCGCCCCGTTCCCGCTCGGAGCCTCCCGGAGCAGCTCCCGCTCGGGCTGCCCGGAGGCCGGCGCTGACGGAGCGTGTTTGCACCTTGCCGCCAGTAACCTTCAGTACCGTGTGGTGGCCGGCGAGCACAACCTCAACAGGAACGACGGCACCGAGCAGGTGTTCAGCGTCAGCAGGATCATCGTCCACCCCTACTACAACTCCAACAACGTGGCCGCAGGGTAACGCTGGCGCAACGGGCACTCGGGGGGAGCCCGGCCGGTGTTTGGGGGCTCCTTGTAACATCCTCTCCCTCCCGCCGGCAGCTACGACATCGCCCTGTTCCGCCTGAGCAGCTCCGCCACCCTGAACAGCGCCGTGCAGCTGGCCGTGCTGCCCCGGGAGGGCACCATCCTGCCCAACAACTACCCCTGCTACATCACGGGCTGGGGCCTGACCCGCAGTGAGTGACGAGCTGCCCCCGACCCAAACTACCCCGGCACCGGCCAACGCCGGCAGCCGCGGCGGCGCCCGCAGCCCGGCACGGCCCCGGCAGGCTCCGCTCGGGGCTGCGCTGGGGGCTCGCAGGTGCCCAGCGCCGGCCGGGGCCGTGCCGAGCCTCGGGGGCACGGGCGGGGCCGGAGGGGCTGCGCGGGGGCCGCGGGCTCGGCTTTGGCCGGGCCGCTCCGGCGGCTCCGAGGCGGCGCTGACCGCCCCGCTCCCCGCAGCCAACGGGCAGCTGTCCAGCGTCCTGCTCCAGGCCCAGCTGCCCGTCGTGGACTACCAGATCTGCTCCAGCGCGTCCTACTGGGGCTCCACCGTCAAGAACACCATGGTGTGCGCCGGCGGCGACGGCGTGCGCTCCGGCTGCCAGGTGCGCCCGCGGCCCCCGCGCTGCCCCCGCCGCCCCCGGCGCGCCCGCAGCCCCGGCTCACGCCGCTCCTCGCTCCGCAGGGCGATTCCGGCGGTCCCCTGCACTGCGCCGTCAACGGGCAGTACCAGGTGCACGGCGTCACCAGCTTCGTGTCCAGCCAGGGCTGCAACGTCCTCCGCAAACCCACCGTGTTCACCCGCGTCTCCGCCTACATCTCCTGGATCAACAGCGTAAGGCGCCCGCGCCGGGCCGGGCTCAGCCCCGGCGCTCTCGGGGCACCGCTGCGCCCGCCCCGGCCCCGGCCCCGCGCGGCTCAGCCCGGCCCTTCCTCCCTTCCAGGTCATCGCCCAGAACTGAGCCCGGCGGGACAAGCGCTCGCTGCCCCCCGCCCATGGACATCCCCTCACTGCCCCGCGCCGCGCTCCGGGCTGCCCGCCCCCGAGCCGGCCTCAATAAAATCTCTCCTCCCGTCTCCGAGCCTCCGCGCTGCTTTTTAATTTTTTAAAATTTTCCCTGATAAAGAACTGTTATTCCTATTCTCAAATCTTTGCCTGAGAGCCCCTTAATTTCAAAATTATAATAATTCAGAAGGAGGGGTTTACATTTTCCATTTCAAGGGAGGCCCTTCCATCCTTAGCAGACACATGTCTTTTCAAACCAAGACACCATGAAGAAATTCCTCCTGATGTCCAGCCTGAGCCTCTTGTGGCACAGCTTGAGACTCTTCCCTCCCATCCTGTCCCTGTTCCCTGGGAGCACAGCCTGACCCCTCCCCGGGCTGTCCCCTCCTGTCAGGATTGGGCACAGCCTGGACTCGATGGTCTGGGAGGGCTTTCCCACCTCAGGGATTTTGGGATTCTGTGCTTGGTGTGTCGAGGAACAGCTCAATTTGTGGGTGAGATGAAGGTTGAGCTCTGGGTGCTCCAAGAGGCCAAAGCTGCTGACCCTTTGCTGAGCCTTTGGAGAGCAGTGGCACAGACAGGTGGGTGGACACTGGGAGAGACAGGAGGAGACAAAGATTTGGGAGGAAGAGCAAATCTTGCACTCTTGGACTGTGAAGGGATAAACCTGAGGGTTCCTCCTCAGAGGCACCAGCTGGGGCTGGGCTGGGGCTGGGCCGGTGTCACTGCACAGGGACTCGATGGCTTTGTGGAATGGGACACCTAGGACAGCCATGGGAAACCAGGGCTGGGATCACAGCCAGCCAAGGGAGGGATTGTGTCCATCTCCTGATGTCCAACCTGAGCCTCTCGTGGCACAGCTTGAGACTCTTCCCTCCCGTCCTGTCCCTGTTCCCTGGGAGCACAGTCCGACCCCTCCCCGGGCTGTCCCCTCCTGTCAGGAGTTGGTCAGAGCCAGAAGGTCCCTCCTAAGCCTCCTTTTGCCCAGGCTGAGCCCCTTTCCCAGCTCCTTCAGCTGCTCCAGCCCCTTCCCAGCTCTGTTCCCTTCTCTGAACACGCTCCAGCCCCTCGGTGTTTTCCTTGCTGGGAGGGGCAGAACTGGACGCAGCCCTCGGGGGCTTCAGCAGGGCCGGGCACAGCCACTGCTCCCGTGGCCTCCCAGGGCTGGGAGAGCCCTCTTGTCACTCGTGGGTGTTTTGTTCAGCAGGACACGACCCAGGGCTGGGGGGAACTCCCAGCGTCTGCTGGATCCACCCAGCAGTGTCTGTTTGGGTGTAAGGCAGGCGTTTGGGGCATGTTGGTGCTGGTGGTGTGTCCCCAGGCTGGGGGTTGTGGCACAGCCCCAGGACGCAGCTGAGGGACGAGGGGGGTGGCAGCAGTCCCCGAATCCGACACCTCTCGTGGCCGAGGAGGGAATTTGGGGAAGAGAAATAGAGCAAGAGTCAGGGGAGATCCCGATGGGATTGCCCCGAACGCTCCGTGTGCCCCCGCAATGCCAGGGAGCGATGGCCTTGGAGGGCAGGAAGGGGCTTTGCAGCGTTTGCCCCTTTTCCAGCATCCCCCAGAGGCTGGGGCTGCCCCGAGAGCTCGGAGGCAGCTCCTGCTCCGCAGGGCTCTTCCCTGAGGAGCGAGGAAGAGGAGGAGGCGAGGAAGGGCCGGTGCGGGAGCTGGGGGAGGAGGAGGATGGCGGTCCGGAGGAGGAAGGATGGGCGGACGCGAGCAAAGGCAGCGCGGAGGCTCGGAGACGGGAGGAGAGATTTTATTGAGGCCGGCTCGGGGGCGGGCAGCCCGGAGCGCGGCGCGGGGCAGTGAGGGGATGTCCATGGGCGGGGGGCAGCGAGCGCTTGTCCCGCCGGGCTCAGTTCTGGGCGATGACCTGGAAGGGAGGAAGGGCCGGGCTGAGCCGCGCGGGGCCGGGGCCGGGGCGGGCGCAGCGGTGCCCCGAGAGCGCCGGGGCTGAGCCCGGCCCGGCCCGGCCCGGCGCGGGCGCCTTACGCTGTTGATCCAGGAGATGTAGGCGGAGACGCGGGTGAACACGGTGGGTTTGCGGAGGACGTTGCAGCCCTGGCTGGACACGAAGCTGGTGACGCCGTGCACCTGGTACTGCCCGTTGACGGCGCAGTGCAGGGGACCGCCGGAATCGCCCTGCGGAGCGAGGAGCGGCGTGAGCCGGGGCCGCGGGCGCGCCGGGGGCGGCGGGGGCAGCGCGGGGGCCGCGGGCGCACCTGGCAGCCGGAGCGCACGCCGTCGCCGCCGGCGCACACCATGGTGTTCTTGACGGTGGAGCCCCAGTAGGACGCGCTGGAGCAGATCTGGTAGTCCACGACGGGCAGCTGGGCCTGGAGCAGGACGCTGGACAGCTGCCCGTTGGCTGCGGGGAGCGGGGCGGTCAGCGCCGCCTCGGAGCCGCCGGAACGGCCCGGCCAAAGCCGAGCCCGCGGCCCCCGCGCAGCCCCTCCGGCCCCGCCCGTGCCCCCGGGGCTCGGCACGGCCCCGGCCGGCGCTGGGCACCTGCGAGCCCCCAGCGCAGCCCCGAGCGGAGCCTGCCGGGGCCGTGCCGGGCTGCGGGCGCCGCCGCGGCTGCCGGCGTTGGCCGGTGCCGGGGTAGTTTGGGTCGGGGGCAGCTCGTCACTCACTGCGGGTCAGGCCCCAGCCCGTGATGTAGCAGGGGTAGTTGTTGGGCAGGATGGTGCCCTCCTGGGGCAGCACGGCCAGCTGCACGGCGCTGTTCAGGGTGGCGGAGCTGCTCAGGCGGAACAGGGCGATGTCGTAGCTGCCGGCGGGAGGGAGAGGATGTTACAAGGAGCCCCCAAACGCCGGCCGGGCTCCCCCCGAGTGCCCGTTGCGCCAGCGTTACCCTGCGGCCACGTTGTTGGAGTTGTAGTAGGGGTGGACGATGATCCTGCTGACGCTGAAGACCTGCTCGGTGCCGTCGTTCCTGTTGAGGTTGTGCTCGCCGGCCACCACACGGTACTGCAGGTTACTGGCGGCAAGGTGCAAACACGCTCCGTCAGCGCCGGCCTCCGCGCAGCCCGAGCGGGAGCTGCTCCGGGAGGCTCCGAGCGGGAACGGGGCGCTCCCGGAGAAGCGCCGCGGAGGCCCTGCCAAAAAGGAGGAGGCCAAAAGCGCTCCAAGGGCGGCTGCTCTGGGGCTGGAGGCAGCCAGAATTTCTGCTTGGAAGGGTTTTGGGGGGCAAGGAGGTTTGGCGAGGGGAAGGAGGGGTCCCCGGGGCGCTCACTTGTTGACGCAGTGGGCGGCGGTCATCACCCAGTTCCTGTGGATGAGGGAGCCCCCGCAGGTGTGGTGCCAGCCTCCCCCGGAGTAATACTGCAGGGAGATCTGGGGAGGGGGCGAGACACGGCCCGGGGCTGAGCGCGGGGTCGCGGCGCGGGCAGAGCCCCGGGCCGGGCCGTGGGACGCCGGCAGGACGCACCTGGGAGGGCCAGGAGTGCGAGCGCGCCTCGGTGCCGCCGACCACCCGCTGCATGCCATCGAGATCCAGCTCGGAGCAGCGCCCTGGGGACAGAGGCACGGGGGCGTGAGTCCCCCCGGGCTTGCTCCAGGGGCCTTTCGGGGCTGCCGAGGCCCAAGGCTCCGGGCGGGACTCACCGCACAGGGCGAGCGCGGCGAGGAGCACGAGCTGCAGCATCATGGTGGAGCGCAGTCCGCGGTGGGACCGAGCGCCGGCCCCGCGGGCGCTTTAACGGGGCGGCGGGAGGCGGCGCGGGAAGGGCAGCAGGTGCCGCGGCCCCGCCGAGCGGCCTTGGCCCCTGTGCCAAAGAACACTCGGTCCCCAGGCAGCCCGGGGACACCCCGAGCCCCCCTCGGCGCTGCAGCCCAGGGAGACGCTGCCCTGCGCTGCCGCCTCCTGTGCCCGGGTCCCCGAGCCGCGTCACCGCTGCCTCCCGCTCTCCTCAGCCCCAGGAGGCCTTGGCTGCAGCTCTGCCCGGCCTCGGTTCGTGCCATGGCTCCCGGGGGCTCGATCCAACCCCTGGATGGAGCCACATCGGCACCGGGATGGGGAAATCGAGGCACAAACGGGGCACGACCGTCAGCCCCTCCCCAAGCCCCCGGCACAGCCAGCGCTGGAGCAGGGCCGGGGCTCCCTGGGGCCTGAGGCTGGGGCAGGAGGAAGCAGAGATAGGTTTGAAATAAACCCTGGGATTTTGGCCAAAACTCTGTCATGTTTTACCCCTTGAACTCCCAATGGAGATTGTTTTGGTGAGCAACATTGGCCCTTGAGGCACAGGCCTCGGCATTTGGGATCATGAGGGTCATGGCGTCAACCAGGTCCAAAAAAGTGTTGGGAATAAAAAGCACCTGCTGCAGTTCTGCATTTATTTCCAAGGAAAACACGAAACTTCCCAGGAACACAATTCCCAAATAATCCCATGTTTGTTCTATCAGCACCAAGGGCACAGAGTGAGGGACAGCGGCAACGGCTCCGCCCCACACAGGGACACCCCAAGGCAAAGCTGATCCCCCAGCTGTGGCACAAAGGGCTGTACACTCATTTTTGGGCTAAAAAAGTGGGATTTGTGGATTACTGAGATTTTTGGGATCATTCTGTGTTAGACACACAACTTGTGTCCTATCCAACTCCAGATGTTCCACAGTTCTTTGTTCCCATAGGGTCTTTTCCACCTCAGAATATCCATGATTCCATGGGTCTGGACATCTGGGAGCACTTGGACAACACTCCTGGATTTTGGGGATCTTTGGGGTTGTCCTTTGCAGAACCAACAGTTTTCCTTTATCATCCTTGTGTGTCCCTTCCACCTCTGGTGACTCCACAACCCGAGAGGTCAGGGACCTTTTGACAGCCTTGAACTTCGGGGTTTTGCCATCAGTGACCATTAGGAGTTGTCCTGCACGGGGCCAGGAGCTGCCTCCATGATCCTTTGTGTGTCCCTCCCAGCTGGATCCTCCATGGCCCCCCAGCCCTGCGGCCTGGCCGGGTTCCAGGAGAGCCTTTTTGGGGTTTGGGGGTTCCGGGGCGCGCAGCGGATGCTGCCTGGCCTCGCCTCCAACTTCCTCCCTCAGAAGCCTCCAACGGCAGCTGCGGGGCCGCACCGGGGCCGTGCTGGGGCCATGGCCGAGGGCAGGAGTGGCAGCGCCGGGCTCTTCGCCAGGCAGGTCCAGAAGCGCTTCAGCCGCGCCCAGGAGAAGGTACGGAGGTGCCACCCATCCCCACACCCCACCTGTGACTGGGTTTGTCCTTCTCTCCCCCCTCAGCACTCCCGGGGTGGCCCAAATGGCACAGCTCAGCACCTCTGGGTGCTCACAGGGTGAGAATTTGGGGGTTTCTGGGTCAATGTCATTGCTGCTCCAAGGGTATGGGGAATGGCATCTCCCAAAGATCCCCAAGACACTTTGGCTTCTCTAATGGTGGGGGGTTCTCTACCCAAAACACCTTTGTGGGGGTTATGGGGGGGTTGTGGGGTGGTGGCACGGGGTGCCTGGGCTGGCTGGCACTGGGGGTGCCCAGCAGGACCCAGCGTGGCCGGGGGTCCCAGGAGCCTTGGTGAGATCAGCAGAGGCCCACAGGAAACGAGGGGGAAGGGCCGCGGAAACGGCACGAGCGGGGCGATTCTCACTGCTTTGGGGGAGCCTCTTTCCTTTCCTCTCCCCTAAAAGTAGCTGTGACTCCCCTTTTGGGGTGACACAAGGACCCCTTTCAAACCCTCACCCTCCCTGCTTTCCTGGCTGGGGCTCGGTGCTAAATTTGGCTTTCCCACGGCTCAATCATCCCAGGCCAGGCTCTGGCTGCTTCCTGCACGCTGCAAATCTCCCTCCCAGCCGGTCCTGGCCTCTTCCCAGGGGGCCCAATCTCTTCCTGGACATCCCAAATCTCCCTCTGACCCAGTCCCAGCCTCTTCCTGGACATCCCAAATCTCCCTCTGACCCAGCCCCAGCCTCTTCCTGGACACTCCAAAGCTCACTGCTCCCAGCCCAGGCCCCTTCCTGTGGGGTTCAAGCTGTTTGTGGGTGCCCAAAAAGTCCCTCCTGCCTGGCCCAGGCTCTTCCTGGGGGGTTCAGCCTCTTCCTGGACACCTCGAATTTCTCCTCATCTGGCTTCAGTCATTCTCCAGAGGGTCACCCTCTTCCTGGGCACCCCAAAACCCCTTCATGCCTGGCCCCAGCCTCTTCCCAGGGGAGTTCAGTCTCTTCCTGGGCACCCCAAAGCTGCCCCAGTCCAGACTCTCAGGAGGTTCCCTCAGCCTCTTCCCAGGAGGTTCAGCCTGGACACCCCAAATCTCTCCCACCCAGAGCAGCCTCTCAGCTCTGCTTCAGCCTCCTCATCCTCCTCATGGTGTCCCCTGTGCCCCACAGCCGGGGCTTGGGGTGTTTTGGGATGCACAGGGCTGCACCCACAGCGTTTAGGGTGGGAGGTAGATTGGCACCCAAAAATTCACCGTTTTCCTGAAAGAAAGAAAAGCACAGAGGGATGCAGTGAAATTTTGCATTTCCACATCAATCCTGCCCCGCTGGCTCCTCGGCAGCTCCTCAGGGGGGTTTTGGGGGGCCCGGGGGGCGCAGCCCGGTGCCCTTGGGGTGTGGTGGGGGCCTCTTCCCCTCTCTCTCCATCACAGGTTTTGCAAAAATTGGGCAAAACGGTGGAAACCAAAGATGAGCAGTTCGAGCAGAGCGCCTACAACTTCCAGCTGCAGCAGGTGACAGGGGGACACTGGGGACACCGGGGACACCGGGGACATTGGGGACACCGCCGGGGGTCCCTGTCCCCACAGACAGCCCTGACCTCCCC